CAAGAACAGTTGTAAGCGAAAGTAAAGAACCTATCAGAAGTCAGAATAATCATTCAGTGTTTGGAAAAGGTGTGAACTGGAAATTTTAAGCCTCATTATACTGTCTAGGGGCCCCATGCTATTTCCGGGGACCTACATGCCCACTTGCAGGATCATTATGATCATTTAAGAGCACTATACGCTGTCCTCCATTTCTTTGCATTTGTTCGGAGGGTCCTGCGCTGTTGTTGGGGCCCTTCCTGTTAGCGAGCCGGGGCACTCTTGTCAATCATGGGCCCTTCCACGGATTCTTTCCATTCGCCAGACATGCAAACTGTCGGGGTTATCTCGGTTGCTCAGGGGCCTGTACGTGGGTCCCGGTTAACCCGCCGACGCACTTGCGATGTGGTCAAAGGCCCCCTTCATTCGTCTAGGGCACTTCTAGTTCTCTGTCCCTTGCTTAGAGCTCCACGCTCTTATTGAGGACCTATCTGATGGCCTAGTTGGGTACACTCAGTCGTTCGGGGACCTTCCACACTGGGTCATGGGTACTTCTCTTCTGAATGGGGGCCCTACGCTCTTGTGGGGGCCTATCTGATAACCTGGTCGGGCACATTCGGTTGTGCGGGGCCCTTTACATTGGGCCTTGGGTACGTGCGGTTTAAATGGGGCCCTACGCACTTGTCGGGGGCCTCCTCTGCTCGCCTCCTCGGCCACACTGGATTGCTCGAGGGGCCCTGCGCGTTGGTTCTTGGTGTTTGAATTTAGCGCCCTCTGCTCCCATTAGTGTCATCTGATAGCCTGTTCGGGTACACACCATCTTTCGGGGGCCCTGCGAAAGGGGATTTGGGTACTTCTTATTTGAATGGAGGGCATTACGCTCCTGTCGGGGCCCCTCCTGATAAGGTGCTTTGGCCCATTCGATCGTGGGGGACCTCTACATGTGGTTTTGGGAACTTCGTTTTTAAATGGAGGGCCCTCCGCTTTTTTCGGGGGCCCTGCCTGTTAAGCTGCTCTGGCGCACTTGATTATTCTGGGCCCTCTACATCGTGTCTTGGGTACTGCCTTCCTGAATGGAGGGCCCTACGCACTTGTCGGGGACCCTATGTGTTCGCCGCTTCGGCCACATTGGATTGTTTGGGGCCCTATGTATTGGGTCTTGGTGTTTGAATTTGGGGCCCTACACTCCTGTATGGGCCACCGGATAATCTCCTCGGGTATACTCCATCTTTCGAGGGGTTTCTGCACTGGACTGTGGTTACTTCTTATTTCAATGGAGGGGCCTACGCTCTTGTTGGGAGCCGTATTTGTTGACCTGCTAGGGCGCACTTGATCCTTCGGGGGTCTTCAACATTGGTTCTTGTGTACTCCCTATTTCAATGGAGGGCCCTACATTCTTGACGGGGGCCCTATTGTTAACCTCCTCTGACGCACTGGATCATTTTGGGTCTTCTGCTCGGGCCCATTCGATCGTGGGGGACCTCTACATGTAGTTTTCGGTACTTCCCTTTTGAATGGAGGGCCCTCCGCTTTTTCGGGAGCCCTGTCTGTTAGCCTGCTCTGGCGCACTTGATTATTCGGGGCTGATGGCTGATGAGTGCTGAGCGCACAAATTATGATTCTATTGCTTGGATGATCGTATTTGTGGTTCATGCACATCAAGGGTCCACGATACTGATAACAACATTCGCGCGAATATTTAAACATCGACAACTTTTGGCTGTCTTCTGCTGAAAGCTGTCCAAAGTTTCGTGGATGTTCAGAAGTGTTGCGGAACAATGACAAGCTTGGTCTGGCACCTGATGATGTCTGTGGCTTCGCCTGGCCACACTCAATGAAAGCAGCAAGATCAGAGCTGAGCTGGGCGGCCAGCCTTTCAGTTCATTACTGTTGGCAGCGACAACTGCCGTATTGTCAGACGAATGGCACAACAGCGGGCTTGGAACACCAGAGTGATGTTCACTGTTATCAATCGCGTTGCTCAATTGTTGAGCCCACCTTGACTGCTTGACATCGCTTTCATCCGTAGGATTTGTTTATTGATGTTATGACGTTCACTTTGGGGTGTTGCACAAACAGGCCTCATCATGTCTGCTCAGAAATTTGTAGCACGCTCCACATCCCTGGCCAGAAGATAAACGTAGAAACGAGCGACCAAGCTGGTCATAGCATTCCCACTTTTTTGTGAAAGGCTGATGGCAATACATGCAAATAATTGTGCAGGACAATATTTGGAAAGGGAAACTGGTGGTGGTGATGCATGAAAAGGGTTAGCTAAGGCACGAAGAGTGGCTCCCCTTTTTCAGCGTGCCTCTCGACCGTGCAGCCAGAACCGCGTCCATCAACGTGTCAGGGCTAGATAAGAAAGCCGTTACATAACTCACATCCGACAGAGCGCAGCTAGCGCAGTTTCCATTTTTAGCGTTTCTGTCCCGGATTAGCTGTCTGTCTTGCGCCCCATGCCTCTGACTGTAACCGAGAGTTATACCACATCCACAGACGGCCGGCCGAGCCGACCGTACAGCCGGGGGCGGCCGGCCGAGTCCGGGTCGGGTCAGGCCCGAGGTGGAGCATGGGGGTGGGGAGCACCGCATCCTGTCAAACAATGAATGGCCCTGATCCGACCGGCTTTATCCCGTCGCGCTCGACATCGGAGCAGCATTCGACGCAATTAAACCGGCCGACGGCGCCATAACCGGCCGTCGATGGCGGGCCACCCTTTCCAGACCATTATGCGCAGAGACATGGCGGCCCATTGACAAACCCCGGCGCCGGCGGCGCGGCCGTGACGTCACGTGACGTCAGCGGCGGGAGACCCCGCGGCTGGAGAATAGCCCGGCGGTGCGCCGGGGTGGAAGAGGTCTGGGTCACGTGCTGGACGAAGGAACGCTGCGCAATATGCAAAGGTGTACTCGGCGTGGCATGCACGAGGGAAGAGGAGAGAAGAGGAGAACCCACCGTCATTAATGTGTGCCTGCCTTTCGTTCCAGACAATATATTGTCGTCCTGTACCCACCTGTTCAATTCATTACCGCCGCCAGTTGCCCACCCTGGTTCAAGCCGGACAATCAAAATTTGGTATGCTTCGCTCAATTATCTAGCTGAGTGGAAAGAAAATATCCTAAACTCTTCCTGGGCGTTAAGTGTATGTTAGCTGGATGTGACGATCCCAATTACGCATGCGCGGACACCAGAATACGCTGCCGCCTGCGTCAGCGGACGCGACGGAACGGTATACCGGCGCAGATTCAATTACTGAGCGGCCATCGTTCACGTAATACAGATGCTGCGCTATTTTAGACACGCGGCTGTGACTCCTGACGCATCTGCAGAGAAGAGACGCGCTCAAATATATCTGGGTGGTGTATATTCCGTAACGTGATCAGGGCAAGGACATTCACATGAGTGATTCTTTTGTTATGAAAAACAACGGCTCTGCAGTCTATCTATACATTATTGGCGCAGTAGATTTGCCAGACTTTTCAAATCCAGTTGCTGGTGTAACTATGCAATTCGGTGATAACTCTTAAAGGGAGTGTTCCACATTTGTATGGGGTTTTGAACTGTAATAGCCATCTAGAAGATCATTCGGGGCAGTTCAGAGCCCTGCCGTTCTTAAAACCTACTCCCCTCCAGTTTCGGAGCTACACGCCCGCGAAGATGCGCAGACTATTTCAGGGAGACTTTTCCAAGGTCACCCAGGAATCCATGACGCCATAGATACGCCATTCAAATCCTGGTGTTCTATAAGCCGTGCGGCGGCGAGCACAAGCAAAATGTGTCAAGTCGTTCATATCTGACGCTCGTGAGCACGATTTCCAGACATAACGGCGGTAGTTGGCCATCAGTCATGTTAAGCATGGTACGATGACGCGATTAAACAATGACATATTAAAGAGGATATTTACTGAACAGAGAAATAATGTTGTCTGGAGCAATCCACTCCCACTCAAAAGTATACCAATAGTTACAGGCGTGCTTATTTCATATCTCATGTTTGCTTCAACATCTTTCGATTTGAAAGATTCCTCTTAATCTTAATTTGACGTCAAAATAAGAGGATATTAAGAGTCTCAACTACACAAATCTGTCATGAAGTTGTTTCGTTATTATTCTTATTTTATGGTAAAGTTTGAGTTCGGCACTATTAACGAGCTCCCTGCATCGGTGAAGCACAATGGCTAACACGTTGATGATTTATTATAAATTTATGTGAATAAAACTATATTTGGTTTCCGCAGGATTTTGGTGACGTCCGAAGTTGCATTAAAATAGAATGCATTTATGAATGTTGCTATGGATGCTGTACAGAGAATGCTGACGAAGGGAAGCCGCCTCCAAAAAGATATAGCTCCGAAATGTCAACGATCAGTGTTTCCGATTTTGGGCAAGCTTAAATCCACGTGGTAGGATCAGGAAAGAATCGATTCATGACTGGCATTGCAATAAAGATGATTTGGATGATAATAACACTGATTGAGACCCCTGCATTAGGGGTTACTAAGACACATGACATGACAACATGCTTTGGGGGAAACTTCTAGTGTCGACCTGTACAGGGAAGAGAATATAGTCCATCAAATGCGCACATCATTAAATGCATGAGCTTATGCTGCAATTTATTTCTGGCTGATTCTGTTTTTATTTCATTTGCTTATCATTTTTGTTTTTAATCATTAGTCAGATAAAAAGGTGCTCAGAATACCAAAAACTTGAAAGTTGGAACATTCGAAATAATTTTCAAAGAGTGAACAAGCATACCGATTGTTCACTACATGGCGTGACATGACATTTTACATGACATGAAAATCGATCACCACATTGTTTATTTGTCCTCGGATCGTGACTATTATTTCCCAACGTTTGCCGAAGTACAAACATACCGATACATTATTCCGATGAGAAACGTCCGGACCTCATAACCAGAAAGTAACGTGTTCTGGTTCTGTCTGGACCGCGACACATCCGTGCATCTGCGTCTGGACCGCAACATGTCCGTGCATTTGTGTCTGGACCGCGACATGTCCGTGCATCTGCGTCTGGACCGCGACACGTCCGTGCATCTGCGTCTGGACCGCGACACGTCCGTGCATCTGCGTCTGGACCGCGACACGTCCGTGCATCTACACAGAGCCGTCACACAGAGACGGCCCGGTGCAGCAGTCAATCGCCCCCAGTGGGTGGACAGTTCAGGCAGCGGCAAGCCGAGTGAACTCCGCGTGATCGAGCCGGCGTATGTCGGGGTTGCCCTGCCAGAAATCATCACCACCGCGTACGCTCTCGATGTTCGGTCGGTCTGGAGCTGTCCGGTCAGAACTCCATCACGGTGTACGCTCTCGATTTTCGGTTGGTCTAGAGCTGCCCAGCCAGAAATTCATCACCGCGTACGCTCTCGATGCTCGGCCTGCAGCGAAGCCGTCCATCCGTGCCGCGTCTCGCCATCGATTTCAATGTCTCCACAGAACCCCGTCCAGCCGCCAGTCACTGCCGCTGGTGGGCGCCCCATGACTCTGGCTGGAACGGAGCACGGCTCAGATCAATCGGCGCGGTTTGGTATGCAGCCGACACGACTCTTAGCCTCAGCGGACACAGTCCAGCCCGCGCGAGCAGGCGTGACGAGGCCCGAGCTCGCTAGCCGCGACTGCGGGACTGGGCCGAGTCTTTGCTAACGTCATGGAGGTCGGCGAGGAAGCTGATGGTGATCACTTTAGTTGGGATGTGGGCCGTTTGTGTTCGCCGGAGGAGAGGCACATAGATCGCCCCGATATTGGCTCTCGAATAACTGTACCCAATACAAGTGGGGTGCTAAGCTTCTAGCAGCTCGGTTTAACTATTTTGACACTTCCTGTAAGAATTTGGTTATGTGTCAGATCACGATCACGGCGGTCACGTGATCACAGATCACGGCGGTGACATCTTTGTCAAAGTCACATCCGCGGTCCCAATTCGCGCTCTGGTGCCCAATAACGCAAGCCCAATAACGTCGAGCATGGATTTCAACGGGCTTTCCTGTGTGTATTTGCAATGTATTGTTTCTTGAGGGACTACATGATGGCACGATCCTTTAAACTGTGTAGACCGTGCAATGCGAGTTTATCCCAGGCCCAGTACAACAAATGAAGAAATTCTCGAGGGAAGGCGTTTTTGCCCCTCGTGACTTGGATATTACAGGCTGGCTACGCCGATACTTAATGTAGTCCGACAACCGCTTCCAACATGCCTGGATTTGTCACGCTGCCATTCGTGGCTCTTGGGAAAACGGGATGGTGGAGCCAGTACATACCACGCCTGATCCGTACGTCCTGATCTGATATCTTCCTGACCATATCTGCCGCTGGGCTGCTATTCATGTGATGAGGGTTATTCAGCACGATGCGAGTTATTCAGTATCACCCCCACTGCGGGCACAAAACGAAAAGGAGCCCAAATACACCGATTTTATCACGTCGACCTGGCTTAATCCATCATACGCCAGCCGCACCGACGCTCAGTAGCGTTACTGTGACGGAGTTCTACGCCAGCTATCCAATGTTGCTTGCCGAATAGGTCTAGTTTGTTTCCTTTGAGATAACAGGATAGACTATGGGACCAAATTCGTCCGGCGAGAGAGAGAGAGAGAGAGAGAGAGAGAGAGAGAGAGAGAGAGAGAGAGAGAGAGAGAGAGAGAGAGAGAGAGAGAGAGAGAGAGAGAGAGAGAGAGAGAGAGAGAGAGAGAGAGAGAGAGAGAGAGAGAGAGAGAGAGAGAGAGAGAGAGAGAGAGAGAGAGAGAGAGAGAGAGAGAGAGAGAGAGAGAGAGAGAAGGAGAGAGAGAGAGAGAGGGAGAGAGGAGGGAGGGGAGAGATAATCGAAATAAAAGAGCTGATAACAATATAAATAACAAAAGAGCTGAAAACTGGGAAGCCTCTAACCAAAGGTTGATATTCATTGCCTTTAAAGTTGACAGACAAAAATTTCAGCTGATTTACGGTCCCGTACATCATAGCCTCAGCTGTCTTATTTAATCTGTCGTAACTCGGGACGTTTTGTTTCGATACTGCCATTCCTCACCCAACGGGTGATTTAGGACGGCACCCTGTGCTTTTACCGCAATGCCTGGTGCCCGTGCCCTGGCCTAATTTACGCCGGGACTTCAGGCTCCGCTGCTGAAAGCTTGTACACACGCTGGCAGCCACGGCCTTCTGTTAGTCACCGCTATCAGCTGACACCTTGGCTGGCGCGTCCCCTGTGTGCTCACATTGCGGCACTGCGCCAACGAGCGTCGCTTAACCGAGCGCGGCCCGTCACAGCCAGGCCTCCGGGCTGCCGAGCGGCCGCCTCTTGACCGGAGCGCTGGGGCCTGGGCCCAGGGCAGCTGGGAACGTGACATCAGGAGCAGCACAACGATCTGGCGCGGGCGGTGGTGACGGTGTTGCAAGAGGACTTTGAGGAAAAGGTGACAATTTGGACTGCTTCAGGGGCACGCAATATTATGCGTGCGATCTGAGCCCAAGTCCATCAATGGAATTCCACTGGAATACACGTTACCGGAGAGCTAGCATACGCTGTCGTGGTCTCACTAGTGATATATTGATAAAGACGGCTAATCTGTAACAAACGCATCCCATATCATGATCACATCACAAACTTACAGTGCGCAGGAAGCAGCGGCCATTGACGGACCACAGCTAAACAGTTTGAACAGAAGGGGTCTCATCGTGGACATGGGAGTTCCCCTGCGACGGAGCCTGGCCAGCTGGCGCCTGACCTGCCTGCAAGCAAGGCACGCTCTGGTAGCGTTGGCAGCGACCGGTGGCGACCATTACAGCCCATTCAGCCCATGGAATGTGCACTGCACGGCTGCTTTTGTCCGTCAAGCCTTCAAAGCGTGACCATCCACTTGGGTGGCGATCCCGCCGAAGTTGCTATCCGCGCGCACGACTGAAGCCATACGCAAGGTACCGCGGTCATCTCATTCTTCTCTTCCGCTTATGACCTCTACGCACCACCGTGCGTGCATGACTACCTGGCGGCGAACGAATGCGGCACCGGCACTCCTTCCGACCGGCACTCCTCGTCCTCGGGCACGCCTGCCGTCTAGTAACGCTCTGCTGCCCGGTGCCCCGCCTACAGCGCTGTACCCTTCTGTCACCCGGGACCCCTCCGTCACGCGGTACGCCTCTGTTGTCCGGTACCCCCTTTCTTCCGCCTCCTCCGCGGCCGCTTCCCCTCTGTCAGCCGTTACTCCTCCGCCCCTGCGCCCTGCTGACTCGCTCTCGCCCCCGCCTGGGCCAGACACCGGCGACGCGTCCGCCTGCGGCCGTCGGTCAGGCGTCGGCGGCCGCCTGACGCCTGCTGCGGCCAGAGCTGCCGCCACCGCCGCCGCCGCCGCCGCCGACCCACCTGGAGCGGCGCCAGGCCAAACAGCGGAACAGGGGCAAAGTCAAGGCGGCCGGCGCGACGCGACGGCCGCCTTGCGTGCTGGTGACTGCGGCGGTCGAGGGGGGGGGGGGGGGGGGGGGCGGCGGCCGCACGGAGGTGACCACGGAGACCGAACGGGGGCGACCACGACTTTCGCGCGGGGGTGACTGCGGCGGCCGCGCGACTGGACGGTCACCGCACGCCGGAGCTGGTATGACGTGAGGCGAGAGGGGGCGGGTAGGATACTGAGGTCGTCAGGCCACAGCAATGACAGAAGGCGCGCATCTGCTGCCATCTTTGGGAGATGGGCGAACAGAGAGTGGACACCCGCAGGCAAGACCTGTGGACGGCCAAGAACGGTGAGAAATGGGCCGAGCTGGGCCACACTAATTGTGTGAGAAATGAATGACTCGGGAGCAACGTCGCACAGCCCCGATGAACGCGAAATGAATGGGTGACTGTCTTCAGATAGGGGGCTGTCTGACTAATAGGTAACTCCGAAACCAAATACCGCGCGGGCTTGGGAATGACGAGGGCCACACTGACTGCCTGGGCGGCGTGGGTAGTGTGTGTCATACGAGTGTCTGTATGAGTCATTATACTGTAGTATGTGGTGCGATATGGGTACGAATCCCAAATCACTGTACCAATGGAGATCAGAAGCTGAAGTCATGTTTATGAAGCGTGCTGCTATCGCGTTGACCTAGATTCATGAACACAATCGCACAATTACTAATCGTTTTTTTCTCAAACGAACGTTTCAACCGGCTTAGCTGATCTGCTTTGATAGCACATCAGATGTATCAAAAGATACATACTATTTATAATGTGTAAGGTAACATAGCAAGTATATCAAAACCCCGCCTACCGTAATTAATGAGGCGGGACGAATGAGATGTCGTTGGGCTGGGGGAGGCAGATTCCTTGGATGGCACCCTTTCTCATCCAGTCATGATTATCAGTGCAGCACAGCAGAGCACAGTAGCGATAATGGCATGCGGTTCTCGTCGAACAAGCTCGACACGACAGTAGAAACACAGAGCTTGCTCGGATCGAGTCTGAAGACGTTGTCATGTACCGTGGTCTAGACCTGCGTACCAACGAACTATTTCGCATGAAATCGTAATCTCGAACAGAAATCTCCTTTCTGGTAAGAATACTCCCAAATGTCATAGATGAGCTCCTCCCTGATGGTTGTGATCAAACATGTCATGCGGCAAAGACAGCGTATGCTTGATGCAAACCAAGACCTCCAACTTCTGGTTTTTCCGCATTATGAGTAAATAGTCCTTTCGTTGAGTTGACGATCTTCAATGTACCAGGATGTGCTGGTTTAACGACGCTGTAGTGATAAATACTAATTACAAAAATTGCCACTACCAGCACCAAATCACCATTACCTGTTAAAAGTGCCCGGTGCCAACACCTTGGCATACCAGTATCGTTTGCCCAGCGCTAACAGCCCATGCGTTGACCCAAAACGGCACAACACCTGTCCCAGTCCTTTTCATCGGCTGTCTCTGCCGCATCCAGTTGACTACACCGAAATGTGTACGATCAATGACGAATGTGTAAATCCGTGCTGTGTCTATATGTATGCGTCATTTGCGCCTTGCACCCATTTCGTCGGTGCGGCAAGGTTGGTGTCCACGACGGTTTGTGGTGGACGTCCAAGAAATTATGAAACATAGAAAATACAATCTTACTCCCAACTTCCCTTGCAAAGGGGACGTGAGCTGAGGTCCTCACTTGAATTT